GTTTTAAATAAATTTATATTTTAATTAATTTGAATTTACATGTCTTTAAGTAAAAAAAAGTTGAACTAAAATTGCATCCAATTTACAAGATGCATTAGATTATGTAGATAAATGGTAGCAAATTAATAATAACATACAATATATTTTTTTTATTTTTTTTTTATTTATTTGGATGATAAAATTTTATATCAATTTTTTTGAGCAGTTTAATTTTGGATACTTGGTATGTTGCTTTTTATATTTTTTGAACTAAAGAAAAAATCATTTGGTTATTGGTAAATTTTTTTGGTTTCATTAAAAAATTTTTTATGTAAATAAATATTATTGATTAAATATAAATAATTAAACATTTATATAGTTGGCTCGGTCTAAAGACCTCCTAAGTTTTGCATAAATTTTAAAAGTATAGAAGTCACTTTCTGTCCTATCTTTTAAAAAAATAACGTTATTAGTTGATAGAATAGGTCTTTAGTTTTAATGTAATAATGAGATATTCTCAAAAAAATCATTTGTTGTAGAGTTCTATTCTTTTTTAGAACATGTACTTTACTATGTTCACGAGAAATTTGGCCGCTAGGATCATTACTAAATTTAGACCAAACTACAAAAATCATTTCTAAATTTAGACTAATACATGACCATCATATCTAAATTTGGCAGTACGAAATAAATTTTTAAACCCAAAATCACGTGAAGTCCTATTTTCGAAAATTTTTATTGCATTTTTGAACAAATTACAAAATTGCTATTTTTGAAATTTGGCCACGTGGCGCAGAAATAGGAGGTCTTTAGACCGAGCCAACCATACACTATAAATTAAAGATAAGAATATTGAAATTTTAATTCCAAGTTTTGTTAAATTCTATAAATAAATAAAATGACAAATTAATAAATAAAAATATTTTATGCATAACCTTTCCATCATAATAATAATCATATCATCTTATTGCAATGACACTAGTGGATTATATAGTATTAAAAATGTTCATTAGTGTTGATCCATTTATTTTAACAGGAGTCAAACTATATAATAAAATAATAATTAATGGAATAAAGCAATAACAATAATAATAAAATTTTTTTTTCACTTATCTTAAATTCATTTTGGTTTTGCAGATGATATATTTCCTCTTAAATTGTCTCCTCTATTTCACCACCATTAGCACCATTGTTGAGATCTTTGACTTGTTGCAGAATTAATAGTAAATCTTTTTTCTTTTTTGCTCCTAGTCCTTTAAATTGTGGCTTATTAGCTTCATCCAAGGATCCAATCAATGAATCAATTACTAGTATTAATTCTTTGTTTGTCATTAAATTTTCTGATAATTGATTTTCTTGCTCTTCAACAGTAACAGGGATCATACAAGTAATTCCTGATGATTTTTTTGAACCCAGTTTTTCTTTAATGAAATCTATTCGAAGAGCTTTGGCTGTTGAGCTAAATGATTTCATTGCTTCACTTAATGTTTTACAGCGAATATGATAAATGTTGCTTCGACAACAGTTTATTACAAGGACCAGTGCGTTGATAGTACTCATATCAGCTGATTTGGTTTTTTGGACCTTATTTCAAACTTTATATCTTATTGTATCTTGACATTAAACACAAGTATTCTTAATGTGTAAATTGGTCAGTGAGAATAAAAAATAATATTATTATGTAAGTAAATTTCCTTTAGTGGAGTAAAAGTTACTATTTGATTTTCCCTGCCTCTGGTAAAAGTATACGTAAATTGAAGTTATATAGATGGCAAGGTAGAAACTACTTTTTTTTTTTTTTTACATATAATTATAAAGTTTCTTTGAATATTACATAGGCAACCCCGTTAAACTGAAGGCAATTGTGCAGGAACTTTCCTTCAGATTAACAGGGTTTCAGATTACTGGGGTTTTTTTATAATCTGAAGTTGTTATTAGAGTCATAAATTAATTTGGATAAACAGGGTAATAAATTTAAAAATTAGGATTTAGAATTTCCTTTATCCATTTTCTGGCAGTGAATTGATTTGGATTCAATGATAAAAAATAATCACTCTTTTTTAGAATTTCAGAAACGGTAAATTCACTGACATTATATTTAGATGCAAGCTGGTTATTTTTTATGTTTGGGTCTTTATTTTTTTTGATGGATATTTATATTTTTTGTGAGATTTTTATAGGCATATGTTTTCTTTTTGATACCCCAATTTCTTTTTCAGTAGATTTTTTTTCCTCTTGTGTGTGAAAATGAAATTTATGTGAATTTGCAATTCACGTATTCAAATTAGCCAATCAGAATTTCATATCCAAACACTCCACCCAAAATTTTAATTATAAATTTCAATTTCACATACAACATACATATGTATTTGTATATTATTATTATTGGTCCAATTTTTATTTCGCTTCGTTTTATATTCGGTTTATAAAAATTTGGATTAACAGGGCAATCTTACATATAAAATGGCTTCAAAAAAATTTAAAATTTTCTTCAGTTTACGGTTTATTAGTGACATTAATATTAACGGGGTAATTTACATATATTTGGTGTTTTAAAATTATTCATTTTAACGGGGTTTTCGGATTAACGGGATCGCCTATGTAAATAATTTTTTTGTCAATTGAAAATGTGATTTTGCATGTACAAATCTACTTTAAAATTATATAGTCACACGACATAATTTCGAGATCGTCACGAAGTGATAAACGTGATAAATAGAACTTGATCGATGATCGGCGTATAAATTAGACAAAAAATTATTTATCAAATTTTGAAAAATGAATGAAATACAAGATAAAAAAGCTTTTATATTAGAAATTTTAAGAAAATACGATTCACCATATTTTCAACGAAAGCTGGAAGGGGAGGAGGAATCGAACAAAGTATTCAATAATAATAATAATTTATTAAAAGAATCCACCGAAACAACCAAACAGAATCATGATAATAATAAGATAAAACAAAATAATAATAAGAGTAATAAAAACAAATTACCTCCTATTAACAAAGGAGTAAAAAAATATAAAGATAGATTAAAGAAAAATGCACAAATGCGATCAAAATTATTAATTTCAGAAAGAGAAGCTTTGAAGAATAAAAAATTAAATGAAGAAGGTTTGTTTGTTGTTTATTAATTTATAGGGAAAAAAATTTTATTATAATACATATTAATATATATTATTATTATTGTTATAAAGAAACTGAAATGGAAAACCTCAAGAAAAATCTAAAATATTTTACTTTTTAAAAAAAAAATTTTTATTATAATACTTTGTATTTTAAAATGTTTATTAATAATATTATAAAGAGAAAATATATATAATATAAAGCCCAAAAATCTAATTTATATTATTTAAGAAATAGTTTAATAGTTGGTTTTAATAATGTTCATTAAGCATTATCTCGCTACTAATTATTGATGATTGTCATGGTGACCCTCTTTTGTCTCATGTTTGTTCTCTTTTGCTTCACGTTTTGTCTGTTTGCTCTCTTTTGCTTCACGCTTTGCTTCGGCGTGTTGGCCATCTTTTGTTTCACGTTTACCACGTTTTCCTTCATGATGTTGGCCATCTCTTCCTTCAGCACGTTTAAGAACATCGTACAAATCATTTTTAGTTGATAAAGATGTCAAATCGCCTTTTCCACTTAAAATCTCGGCTGCAGAAATATCTCTACCATAGAATTTTTTGTTGGCGTCTTTACGTTCCATAATTATTGTACCTTCAACAGATACACCTGTGTGTGTGTGTATAAATACAATATTATTTAGAAAAGGTAAAGTAATCACAAACGCACAAAATTTTAATAATAATTACCGGCAAAAAACCCTTTAGAGCTACTATACGAGTATAATGCAGATGGTTCATAAACACTACTCGAAACTTCCGTGCCCATACCAATGGGGCCAGCAGATACTATATAAAAAACGACAATTATATATATATATATATTAGCATTATTATTTAATATAATATTATATAGTAAATACTTATTATAAATTTACCAGATAAACCTCCACCCAAAGTGACATTGTCACCAGAACTAAAAGCTTTAACCGCTTTGTCAGTGTTAAGAATAATTACAAAGTTAGTAACATCGGCGCCAAATTGTGCACCAAACCCAACACCCGCAATGTTTATACAAGATGGTGGAGACCAAGTATTATCTTGAGTTCTATATAAGAAGTTTTTGGTTATTAAAAAATTTTTGTCGTCATGGGGAGCAAAATATGATTTTATTTCTTACCTTGCAATAACTATACCAGATCCAGCGCGTCCTGACCAAAAAAGGCCAGCTTTGAACACAGTGAAAATAGCCAAACCTTTTGCTTCTTGAATGACCTTTTTTGGAATTGTCATTTCTAAACCACCCCCAGATTTATCTACAAGAAATTTTAATAATTTCACAATTACCACCACGCATAATTAATTGGATAATCGAATAATTAATTATATAATTACCGGTAAAAGAACTCAAGATACTAGCAGCTTTATCGACCTCACTTACGAAATCAGAAGGTAAGGGCGAATTAATGTTATTTTTTGCAGCTACTTTTTGAATTTCCGAGGTAACATCATTTGCAACTCTACCGATTTCTCTGGTACTATTTTGAAACGTTTCGTTTGATATTACGGATTCTTTAACTTTCTCGTAATAAGTAGTCATTTTTATGTTTTGTTTTTGAGAGAATTTGTTTGTATGATTTTTATTTTTTTTTTTACAAGGAATAATAATTTATTGTGAGAATAACTAGAATTCTCGCACTTTATATAGGCGAAACTGGTTACTAATTATTTGGGTTAAAATTGTTGAAATGGCGCGTGAACGTTAGATATAATAATTGTGTCATCGTAATCATCGTGACAATAGATGATAATAGTTTGATGAATATTAAGTATTGTGCTGAGATAACTTAGTGTGATGTAATGTTAAGGAAGAATTAAACATTTTTTATCATATGCTTTTATGCAATTAATCGTCATTGCACATATTTTTATTTATTGTGAAAATCTCTCAGGAATCATTTACTGCTATACTTTTTTGTATTCAAATGATTATTTTTGACGTTTCACGATAATTTTACTCGAGTGATTTATTTAAAAAAGTTCTTTTACCAATTTATTTAATCTACCGTTAGTTATGTCTGTCAATTTTACATAATCCATAGATTCTCTAAACGTCATATATAAGCTGATCAACGAATCCTTCAGTACTATTATTTTCATTTGTCAAACAAAAACAATTAATTAATTAATTGTTTATTTTATTTAATAAAAGAGTTGACTAACCATTAATTATTGCTACGGGTTCAGCCAAGACTTTAGATGATGTGGTTGAATAAGGATCTCCAATATCCCAATAATTAAGTGGTGGTTCCTTAACATAATTTTCAAGTAATATCAAACATAACAACAACGATTCAAATATTGGTGAAATATGGTTCTGGACAACCCCGTATTTATCTTCTTTTATTGATTTGGTGGTTAATGTTGTAAGCGCTATTCGTATTTATTTATAAATAATATTAGATATTTATTAATAAATAAATAATAAAATAAATTTTATAATACAAAACTTACATTGTATCGCAAAGATAACGGTATAAAAATCTTTACAAACAATAGCTGTTCTATATTCAATCGATTCCTTGAAAATTGGAACAATGAATAAAGCATATAATTTTCTGATAATTTTATGTTTATCACCAAAAATCAAGTGATATCTTTCCAAATAATACAATTCTGTATATATTGGATCTTTCTTTAACGTATCAAGCGTTGGATTAACTTCCAGATTTCCATGAACAACTCTTGGTTGATTGTGTAATAGTTGCTGTTGTTGATTTGTTGTTGTTTCTGATTTTTTTGTTAAATTTCTAATTTCATCATATTTGTTATTTAAAAGCAATAATTTTTGTTTTTGACCCTCTAGCTCTTTCTCTGCATCATTTGTCAATTTCATTATTAAATCCATGCAAGAATATGAAATTTCTGTCCAAGTAGAAATTGGATTATTGTGTAATGGGCATTCATATGGTTGTTTGCGATTAAAGTCTGAATATATTAAATTACGTCTTTCATGATCATATTTTGAAATATGCCATAATTCCATAAAAGCTATTTGCTATTATATAATATAATAAAAATTTAATTTACAATGCATATATATATTTATTTATATATTTTCATTTTTAAGAAATAAAATTACTTGAAAATAAGGAAATTTGTAACCATGTAATCCATCAACAAGCATTGCATTGGGATCTACAAATTTTCCAGTTACAAGGATTATCTATATGATATAAATTAAATTTTTTTTTAGATATTGAATAAAATCAAAGCATATATATATCTTTTTTTTTAATTCATTGAATTTAAGATATTCCAATAACAAACCCTTGTAAAGAAATGATCAAATAAAAAATGAGTTAACGACCAAAAAGACATGATGAAAATTGAACAATAGACTGTTCGATTAAAGAGTATAATGTCAAACCATGGGGCTCTTAACCAAGGATAAAGTACAACATAACTATATATATCAATAAAAGTATATTAAAATTTTGAAACTCATGAGAAGAATTCAAATTAATTAGTTGATTAAATTACCTGAAAAATGATTCCCAAAATAATAATTTCAATATCCAGAATATCACACTAAACTGTATGCTAGTATAAATAATCTTGCAAAATAATTCATCATACTTGCGAGAAAATAATTTCCAAATTTCATTATGTAAATCTAATAAATATCTTGGCTGATTTTATATTTAAAATATATATATATATATTAATAACAATTAATAATAATTAATTGATACAATTTATCAAATGATATTTTTATTTTTTTAGTTTACCTCACCAATATGAAATGATAACATGTATTTCTTATTAAATATATGATCAATTACATACCATACACTTAATGCTAAATTAAAAGTAATTGATATTGCTTTATACTCATTAATTGTAGGTCTAAGATTATCACAACTATCTTTACGATGACTTGGACAAATAAATCTATTATTGATCAATGAATTGATAGATTGATCACATAATTAGCTATGAATTAATAATAATAATAATAACATTATTTTAATAGTAGTACTAATAATAAATAGTGACTTACTGTTCAGTACCAGGAATTAAGTATAATGAGTTTATTTTTTCATAATCTTTCATAATGTAAGTATAAAAACCATGTTCTATGCTCCACATAGAAAGCAAATAACCAAAAAAATTACTCCATAAAAATTTATCTGTTACGGTAAAATATATTTCTTGCTTTAAACTTTTAGCAGTAGATCGATGGACTAATTATAATTAATGTATGTTAATAATGTTATTTAATAATAATATTTAGATTAAAAATCATTGGATTAATTTACCTGAATTTTGTATATATAATTTTCGAATAGTCATTATCGGAACTATTCCAATAAATGCATAAATGAAAGCAAACAAAGTATCTGGTATAAACCGATCACTAATTATGGAATCATCTGTACTGCTGCTGCTATTATCGACTAAAAATTTTTTTTTTTTTTGATAAATATTAACGCGTTTTTATTTCGTTTATTTATTTCATTCATTCATTTCATTCATTCAATAAATATAAATAATTTCTGTGAAAATATCTTTATCTTAACCTAGAGACTGTAAGATTCCTGTCACTAAACGAAAAAAACAAACTAACACGTAGGTACATGCAGTCATAACACCAACATATTTGATTTGAATGTTGCCTAACTCTGTTGAGCCACTAGCAGAAAGAAAACTTTTTCCTTTTATGGTTGTAATGTCTCCAGTAGAAGAACTCATAATCCTTTTATTAAAAGTGAGATGAAAATATAAAAATTTTTCGTGAATCAATACAATGTAATGGCACTTAATTCATTGGCCAAGATTTTCGGTGATCATAACCTTATTTATTTCGATAGTCACTAATATTTTTTTGGGAGATTACCATTGTTATTATTGTGAAAATATATTTTTTGGAGTGAGCAAGTGGAAAGCCATAAAAGTCGATTTTATGTTTTCATGAATGCAAAATTCAATAATTTATCAATTGTAATTTATGCTAACAAAGATTTGTCACAGGATCCTGCAGAATTTGATTTTATCATGGATGGTATTTTGTTACTGCAGAAAATCATTATCCCTGACCCCATCCTTCCATGACCACCCATATCATTAACAAGCATGTTAAATATCAGGATATCAGAAAATCAGGTTGCCATATTCTCTGCAGAAGTGTTAGGAAGACATGCGTTTTTTGATTTACAGTTGCAGAACCATAGGCAAGTAAAAATTGAGTGATGTTGTTGGTAAACAATTAGAAAAGTAAATTTTTATCCAGTCCCACCAACAGGATTTCTCCTAGCTACTTGAATTCCATCTACTCCAAGGATAATGGTCAAATATTTTCTAATCATAATGTTACACTTAGCAATCATATTTAAGGTTGCTTGCTGAAACTCTGCTGAAACTCTAATAAACAATTAGTGTAACCTGCCAATTGATTTCTGGTAGAGTTTTGGCAATCAACCATTTATATTCACTACGACATATTGTTCTGTTTGTTGCAGTACATGTAACATGCTAGTCTTCTATATTCAGTTATGACATCTCTATCCACATTTGAGCAATTAAAATCAAACGCAAAAGAGGAATTAAAACAGGTGGAAATTTACGATTTTCTGCAGACTTGCATGATGAACAGACAGCTATCTTTGTTTGTCCCCTGATAATGGTAACTGAAGCTCAAGAAATGCTATTGTTAATGTGTATATTTTGTTAGGATTATAGCCGGTCTATTTAGCCGACGGATTCATCATCGGAATAGAACAATAATTGAAGGATAACCGCATGGACTTTTATTATCAAATTCCTCCAGAAGTGGTTAAGTGTTTAAACCATGAACCGATGCGGTTCGGTTCACACATTTCAAAGCACAATTTTAACCAAACTGCAATATCAAACTTCAGTATAACTATGGTTGCTTGCCAAAACTCCTATAGAAATCAATCGGTAGAGTTTCAGCAGGTTACACACTAATTGTTTATTAGAATTTCGGCAGTCATAACTTTAAAAAATTTTAATTGCACACATAATAACAACCAATTAATTTATCTCATATCTAAAATTAATGTTACAAGCTTTTCTATAGCTTAAATCATTTATTTTTTATCTACTAACTATAAATCAGTGAAAATATTTTGAGAAACCCAGGCTATATATATACTGATATAAATTTATTTATATAAAAATACAAAAGATAGAACGACTTGGATAGAATTTCTATTTCTTTAATTGAAAATTTTCATTCATACAAAAAAATTGCATTCGTATTCATTAAAAGCCCAAGATGCAAAATGATATGATTTTTTATGTATAATTAGTGGAAGCGCACGTTTCTCAAATACTAGATTTTTGTTTTGAAAAAAAAAAATACAAACAATAAAAATTATATTGCACGAATCAGCAAGATCTAGTGCTAATATATAGGAACACGAATCCGACTCTTTTGCCCAGGTACTGTATATATTAAAAAATCTTTTTTTACTTTTTTATTGCAATGACTTAACTTCCACGCCCCCATCAATTCTGCTATAATTTCAACTAATTGTAGTTGCGAACAAATCAAAGATCAAAAATTAATATTAATATAAAAAAAAGCCTCAATGTTGGCTCATTTCTTTTAAGTCTTTTTGTTTTTTGCGGTGGCAAGAATGAGAACGGATAATTATATATTCACGCCAACATCTATTTTAATAAGTTATTATTGCAAATTTTTGAATTTTTTCTTGATTATCATTTGAACATCATAGTTTCTAAACTCATTAGGATGTAGGTAATGTTTGCTTCGTCCACCATGGACGTTTCTAACCCACTTAAGAAAAATCTGTAAGTTTTTGGTCATTTCGAGTGGCCTAAAATGCCAGAGCAATATGAAACATAAAGATTAATACCATGTAATGCCATTCATTGTTGTATAGCTAGAACGAAATACGATTTCTAATTAAATATTTGTTCTAGCATTTTGATTTTTTGGTTGTGTGGAATGTTCTGAAATATGACAAATAGATAGGAACCCATATAATATGGTGATATGTGAGGATAATTCGTTATTTATTATTTTGGAAAATAAAAATGTTTCTCTCAACCCACCAAAATTATAACTAGAAATATTACAAATTAATTGTTATACTTGACGTCGAATTACGGTATAAGTCGTAAATAAAATTGGCAGGGCACCCCAAAACCGCAAAAATCGTAAACCGTAGGTAGAGCTGTAATTATTTACGACTTTATTGATTAAAATATACTTTTTGTCGTAATATTTACTTTATTGCACAAAAACAATTTGTTAGATTATTCTTGAGTAAAAAATATAATAATGTACACTTCATATTGATAATTATATATTATTCAAGAACGATTAATAATATAAGTAGCAGTTTTTTGGTTTTACCAAAGAAATAATCTTGACTAAACATAATTATGTAGTACTATAAAAGAAACCAATTATGGTACAATCTTTTATGGTGTTTGGCCTTTGCAGCTACACTACCCGGACAAAAGTTTGTGAACGATGTTTTTTGTTAATTAAGCAAAATACTACATAATAACAACACATAAAATTTTAATATTATACGGCCTAGGTTCTTGTTCGTTTTTGTATAAAATTTGATGTTTTTTGTATTTCTAGTACTTTATTAATAAAAAAAAAACGAAATACTTTTTTTTTTGAAAAGATCTTCAAAAAGTTAAAATTGAAAAAAATAGACTAATATCTAGTGGGCCACACATCATTAGAAATACATGCCTCAATTCTTCTTGGCATGCTTTCAATGAGTTTTTCTAAAGTTTCGTAAGGTATTTTTAACCATTCTTCTTTCACCGCAACTTCCAATTCCGATTTATTTTTTGGATGCACTGCACGTTTTTTTAGCCTCCTCTCAAGTTCACCCCAGAGATGTTCAATCGGATTAAGATCTGGTGATTGAGAGGGCCAATCAGCCAAAATATTTATTTTTTTCTTTACCATCCAATTTTTAACATCTTTAGCAGTATGAACAGGTGCGTTGTCATCTTGAAAGGAATAACTTCTATCGCGAAATTTCTTTCTAATTAAAGGCAGCAAATTTTTATCCAAGATTCTGATGTAATCCAAACGATTCATCTTTTTCTCCACCGTTACTAAAGGGCCCAACCCCTTTCCCGAAAAACATCCCCAAACCATTATCCCACCACCACCATGCTTTACTGATGGAACAAGGTTTTCAATATCATAACGACAACCATTCTTTCTCCATACACGACCAGGACCATCATTCCTAAAAATTGTAAAGCGTGATTCATCGCTCCAAATCACTGTCTTCCAGTTTGCAATGGACCAGCTTCTTTTTCTTTTACACCGCTGTAGTCGGTTTATTCTTTGTTTTTCAGACAAAAGGGGTTTCACTGCAGCAATTTGCGAGTAAATTCCAAGTTCATGAAGGTTTCTACGAATTGTTCTTGTAGAAACCTCTTTACCGATTGCTACAGATAAATTTTCTTGTATCTGACCAGAAGAGTTGCGATTTTTTTGATTTACTATCTCTTCTAATATCTTTTGATCATCTTTATTCAAAGTTTTGGGTCTTCCACTTCGAGGTGCACTTTTTACATTATCAGAGTTCTTGTGACGTTTTATGATGTTGCAAACACTACCCTTTGAAATTTTGAGCTTTTTTGAGATTTCTGACATACTATTTCCAGATAGATGAAGATCCAAAACTTTTCCACGGTCAAGTTCAGTCAGTTCCGCATATTTTGGCATTTTTATGATTTTAATAAAATTTTTTTGCAGATCACGATTTAGATCTAGAAAAAAAAATAACGAAAGAAATAAAATCTAGATGCGTTAAAGTAATTAAAATCATATAGTTCATTCTCCAAAACCATAACTTTTATATGATATAATTTTAAATATTTTTATTATAAAAATTTTTGAAAAATCACGAAAATACTGTAAACATTTTAAAATTTAATCAACTTTCGGTTTTTTTTAATTAATAAAGTACTAGAAATACAAAAAACATCAAATTTTATACAAAAACGAACAAGAACCTAGGCCGTATAATATTAAAATTTTATGTGTTGTTATTATGTAGTATTTTGCTTAATTAACAAAAAACATCGTTCACAAACTTTTGTCCGGGTAGTGTAGTTTAGCTATGCATGTAAAATTTTATGTTTCTGGATTTTACCAATTAAAAATAAAAATTTTCGATCATTTTAAGTTCAAAATTTTTAAATATGATGATTTAAGATCCTTATTTCTCTGGTATAAATTTTATTGCATGATTTTTTTAAAAATTTTTCGTTAATTTTTAAAAATTCAAGATTTACTATTAATAGATTTTTTCCAGAAGTCTTAGAAACATAATCTTCAGAGTTTTATTTTAATTATTATGGTTAATCGATGAATTTGGTGCACTCAATACTTTTGCTACGATACTGTATCTATAACAATAAGCCGGCTTCCATAGTTTATAGCATTTATGAAACTGTATTATTTCTGTCTAGCAATTTCAAGCAAGTATAGTTTCAACTTTTGATTTTGTTCAGATTCTTCCCAAAGAATTCAGTTTTATAAGCGACCAATTTTTTTACTATTATAATCAAATATTTCCCACACGACAAATTGTATTATAGTTCAGGAGAAATAGAAAAATTTAAAAATTTAAGAATTTTAGAAACTGTGACACAGCTTTAATTTTTAATTATAAAACCGCGGTTCAACTAGTCGAACAGACAATTTATGAATCAAACTG